CGCCATGATCAAGGTCCTCGGCTGGCTCCCACGTAGTCAAACATTCATCTCAGTGTTTCCTTGCCCTTAAAGTACACAAGCCTGCCTTCAAACATATCTTGACCTCGACCAGCTCGCAACTGCCCGGGTCTTACAACGCAAAGACCTTCTTGCCGTCTTGCCTATCCCAAGCGAGGGCCGAGGGGCGCAATGCAGCTTGACCCGGCTGTCGCAAAGACGAGGCCTTCGAACTTCAGGCCCGTGGTGCTAAGAATGTTGGGGTTCACCTCGGCTGGGCTGGGCCGGCTGTGCACCAAACCTTTCCGGCTTGCGGTGCGTAAGCCAAGACAGAAACTGATACGGAGACCCGAGCTTCCAATTTTGATCGCACCGGCACCATATCAGATCCTACTGCTGTGCGGGTAGGTAAAGGGTGCTGAGAAGTAGGTTAATGGTTACAAGTGAAGTAGCTCAACCCGATTAAAGTACTCAGTGACAATTCAAGGTATGAACCCAAGCGCGGCGAAGTAGCAAACCCCAAACCGCCTTGGCTGAATTCTCGCCCCGAGCCCCTCATCACCCCGTACATCCACCAGCCCCAGGTTGGCATCGACAGAACCCAATCTCCTTAAATGCCTCAGGGATTAAGGCTTTACGCGAAACATCTTTGAAACTCCAGGCCCTCAAACCTGTGAGGATATCGGGTTCTATCGAACGTGAGGACGGTTAGGAGTACCTTTCGTGGGGTGCAAGTGAGAACAACTTCAGTTCCCGTATTTGTATGATTATAACGGACCATCGTCCTTCGAGGCGTTGCAAGACAAGCTGCAGCCATGATGTACGCAGCAGTTAAGAAAGTGGTGATGCCAGCACGGATCTCTGTGGTGAGATTTGACCCACGCTGCGAGACCTGCTTGCATGTAATGTGAACATACATACGGCTGCTGCAAAACCTGTGGGTCTCAATCATGGTATCGATATGTCTGCACCAAGCATAGCGAACCACACAATGAGACTATGTCACTATGTGGCATGTGCATGTTCGACGATGCCTTGAAGTAGTTGTCCACCTTGCCCCCACGGAACATCGTGTCCAACTTATTGTCCACCAACTGCTTCTTGCCTGGACAAATGCATCTCGTTGGGTTCTGTACAACGGCGCTCAATGGGTCAAGGACTCCCTCACATTGATCCCACAGCTCTGATGCCAGAGAAAGCTTTGCTGTCATTGTGACCCTTGCAATTTATTCTGACCATTCCACATACACGAACTAGAGGAGCCTTGACATCCGCCCCGATATATCACCCGGCCCAGCTGCCTTTAGCACCCACATTGAAGTCCAATTCTGCCGCCTCTGCCATGGCGGGTCCAATGCTGGCGAAGGCACACTAGAAATGGCGGGCCGTGATGTTATTCTGCGCTGGAGCCCAGGATCGCATTTCATGATTTTGGACAGGTGCCGGCCATACAAAATGTTCCAAACGATCCATGCTGGCAGCTTCAGCTCCGAGGCCGAACACCGGATCATGAACAGTGGCGAAGTGACGACACCGGGCCTTAACATAATGTCAGCATCGGGTCCGTAATGTCAAAACAGCGCTACCACCAGCATCGTCAGCATCACCACCAGGAGCATACTTGCTTCATGTGATCCTGATTGTCCTTATCAAAAAACACCATGCCCATCCATGCTATCACGATCATCATTGTACCCGGACTGAAGCTTTGTGCCATTGAACGAACGTAATTCAAGGAACTACAAAAACTTTGGAAATGTTCTTACTTTATGCTTTGCGGAGAATTTTGGCATGAACATATGATTCAAACAAGATGGTCTGGCAGCCGGCTTTTGTCACACTGACATCTTTTGCATGTGAACCCGGTCCTTGGAATCTACATGCACAATCTGCCATGCGTATTTGTTCAACTTTCCACCTGTCCTTTTTTCTTTGGCTCCAATCAACCTAATTGATGGTACGTTGAATTCACAAATTGTCAATGGGGCGACTTATAACCTTACTTACTAAGTCCCATGATCCTTTAAGTAGGGTCTAGCTGATTCAAAAGCTCGAAAGTCTCACTTAACCACAAATTGAGCCTCAAAAATTTCACGCAGAGATTTTTGCACTGCACAAAATCGAATATCTCAATGTTTAAACGGACGAATTCAAATCTGACTCCAATTTCATAATAAAACAAACACACACAATCAAATAATTTTCGAAAACGGTGCATGCACGCGCGCACCTCGCACACCGCCATGTGCTCAAGGCATACTGTTTAACTTGCAATCCTGTAACATTTGGAAAAACATCTGCGTAAGCTCGTAAGAGACGCTGCACACGGTGCCAAAGCTACTTTGAGGCAGCAACTGCACTGTACGGTTCAGCAAAACTCTTGCTCGGAAGCCACCATGGAGCCAAGAAATGGATTCAAAACTTCGAGCTGTTGTGCAGTGGCACAACTTGCACAGTTTTGTGTTTTGAGCTGCTTGAGCACACATTATGGGCAGCCAACTCCGCTCCAAAACAATTGTATTGCAGTTTTAAATTGCAGAAGCATGGCAAATTCTAGACTCGAAATCTACCGCAATTGGAAGTTAAAGAAAGTTTCCGCTCACTCCAGCACCGTCTTCCTTCCAGTTGCGGAAGTCTCTTCTTACGGAAGGCTCTTGTGGACACGTTCTGGAAGGTTTCCAGTTTCCGATTTGGAAACTGAGCCCGTCACATCGGCCTAAAACTAATTTGTTGGCAAAAAAGGAAGGTAGAGCCCGAAGCCCACTGAGTCCTGGTCTTAGAGTCTTAGAGAATTTAAAAGACGTAGAGTTTACGGTTTGAGAAGAGAGTTGGGCAAGTCAATTTTCGG